TCTTTTGCAGCAGCAGGGGAACCAGCCTGTGGTTAACTGATTGACTTTTGTTTCCCAAAACTATTATATTGTTATACAAGTTACACCTTACCAAGGCAATTTCACATACCAAATCCTCTTATATGAACGTCCCCAAAAAAGACAAATGCCAAAACGATTCTCAGTCAACGGATCTCTCAGTTTTCTGAGTTCTCCTACAACCAAGTTGTGCATAGGTTTGAACACTTCAGGGACAATTAAGCCAAGATATACAGACTTCAAATAGACGGTATCCAACACAAAGGTAGCAATCACAAAAGGCGGCTCAAAGCCCAGGTGCTAACACTCCTGAATACAAGCCAACTACAGTGCTCTTCAGTAACTTCCCCTACACAACCAGGAGGGGGCAGCACCTGTTCTCACTGACAGTGATGCCTGTGGGAGGCATCCCTGACTGGTTCAAATGGAATCTTGTATCACTGATTCTCAGGACACACAGCTGCTCATGGAATCAATAGAAAAGAGACTCTATAGCCATGTGACACACTGGCCACGACAATTCACAAAGGGGCAAAACACACAGGAGTTGGGATAGGAATATCCCCTTAGAAGGAGATTTAATGAAATACTTGGGACATATCCACAGTGTGGGAGCTCTATAGTAAATATATTCTCATTATTTCTTTAAAGATAATGACATGCACATACTCTAGGGGACTTCTCTCCTTTTATGAGGTAGGGCTTGATATATGTAGTCCAGGAAAACCCCAAACTCATTGCTTAATATGAATTCCCTGAAACTCCCAATACTCTTATGAGATGATAATTATTCATATTGACATTGATACAAAAAGGAATTTAAGGATGTCTTTTTGGCTCAGCAACAAAAGTGGGAAATACTCATCGACCTCGATCTCATTCTCCATGTGACAAACAGGACATGTGTGTGGCCTGGACCCAGCCTTTGAAGCGATGCCAAGTTAGAGAATTTTACCCATGTGACACCTTTTGTAGCATGGGGCCATTACTGAAGAGAAGGTTGAAAATTGTGACACCCAGGGGTGGTAGAGGATGACAATAAACACTTTTCAGGACACTGCAGGACAGTCACACATCTGAGCTCACAGTGTTTGTAACGACAGCTACAATCCCCATGTCAGCCCAAAGCAGAACAAACCCAGTGTGACCATGGGAGATGGGCACAGTGTCCCACCATAGATGAAGAGTGATTCCCATCTTATTCCATATGGGGAGAGGGAGAGTCAGTTTTCTCTTTTTATCAATTTTTTATTTAAATTTTAAAAACACCTTATTTTGCATATCAGTCCCAGTTCCCTCTCCCTCCTTTTACTGCCAGCCATCTGCCCTATAGTTGCCCAAGCAACACAAACTGACATCCACGTTTAGGGGACCCCAACCAAGAATCTAAGAAATAGTAGAGAGTCAGTTTTCTTTAACAGTGTGGCCCTGGGTACTATGTACAAGCGTATGAAAAGCACAAATTGAACTGCACGGGAGAAGAGAATAGAAAGTTAAGTGTGAGAAGGGGCAGTGGATTTTCTACAACCAGCAGGTCACAGAAGGAATCAAAAGGAAATCAGGGAGGCTGAGAGATGGCTCAGAGGTTAAGAGCACCGACTGCTCTTCCAGAGGTCCTGAGTTCAATTCCCAGCAACCACATGGTGGCTCACAACCATCCGTAATGAGATCTGGTGTCCTGTTCTGGTATGCGGATATACATGGAAGCAGAATGTTGTATACATAATAAATAAATAAAATCTTAAAAAAAGAGAGAGAAAATCAGATCAGTGAGACGGAACCAGTAAGAGAGAGGGAGGGAAAGGAGGAGGGTTGGAAGGTGAACCATCAAAACATAATACATAATGATATGACATTTCAAACAATTGAAAAAATTATTTCACTTCCATTTTTATTTAGAAACAACCATTTTACATATCAATCCCCCTTTCCCTCTCCCTCCCATCCTCCAATGTCCCCTACTAATCCCCAACCCACCCCCAACCCACTCCCCAAGGATAGTGAGACCTTCCATACGGGATCAGCAAAGTCTGACACAGCATTTGGGGAAAGGCCTAGGCCCTCCTCTGTGTATCTGGGCTTCAATATTATCCCTCCATAGGGAATGGTCTCCCAAAGTCCATTTGTGCTCTAGGGATAAATACTGGCTCCACTGTTAGAGGTCCCATAGACTGCCCAGGCCTCCTGACTGGCACCCACATTCAGAGGGCTTGGTTCATCTAATGCTGGTTCCCCAGCTTTAAGACTGAGGTCCCTGTGCTCTCATAAGGTCAGGTCAGCTGGTTCTGTAGGTTTCTCCAGCACGGTCTTCACTGCTTTGCTAATCCCTCCTCCCTCTCTTCCAATGGATTCCAGGAGTATGGATCAGTGCTTAGAACCTCAGGTTCTGCTTCTGCTTTCATTGGCTACCAGAGGAAGGCTGTTCAGGGTGCCTGGCTGTGATGGCCATACATTTAATCCAAACACTTGGGAACCAGAGATTTCCAGCACAGCCTGCTCTGCATAACCAACTCCAGGAGAGCCAGGGCTCTACAGAGAACCTGTGTCAAGTCAGCAACAATAATATTTAAACCCACAAACATAAGAAAAAGAAAGCAGATGAAACAAATTTAAGGTGAGATAGAAACTGAGCATTGCAGGAGAAAGTAGGTGTGTCTCAAGGGAGGAGTATGTGCTTAGAATCCTGGAGGCCCTGCCATCATTCCCTGGCTCCAAAAGTAAGGGGAAATAAACGATTGTTACTGAACTCTCTTTCTCTTCAATTACGGGGTGAAACAGGCACAAAGATGGAGACATTTTGCAAGTTCCTGATCACCCTTGAGGTCCAGCCTAGTGACTTCATGGACAATGTCAAGACCAAGACCCAAGACAAGGAAGGCATCTCACCTGACCAGCAGTGGCTGGGATTTACTGACAGCAGACAGAGGATGGCTAAATCCTGACCAGGGCAAAGGCCAGAAAGATTCCCACCCTGAGCCTGGTGCTGCACCTGTATGGTAGCATCATAGAGTCATCCCTTTGTCAGTCTCTCCAGAAGGACAAGTATGACAAGGCCATGCTCTGCTGCCCACAGGTGCTGCCCACACCTGCACCTCTGTGTGGTCAACTAATTAAGAATAAGGGTAGCCGCCGGGCATTGGTGGCACACGACTGTAGTCCCAGCACTCAGAGAAGAGGCAGGTGGATGTCTGTGAGTTCCAGGCCAGCCTGGTCTACAGAGCAAGTGCCAGGATAGGCTCCAAAGCTACACAGAGAAACCCTGTCTCAGAAAAACCAAAAAAAAAGAAAAAAGAAAAAGAAAAAATTGAATTTATTATTATATATGCATAATTTAAAGAAATATGTGTAAATGAATAAGTGTAATTTAAAGATGTAATATAAAATACACACAACAAAAGAAACAAACAGTCATAAAAATTTATGCACAAGTGGTTTGGTTTGGTTTGGTTTCTTAAACACATATTTTTTAGTATTATTATTATTATTATTATTATTATTATTATTATTATTATTATTTTGGGGGAGGGTTGAGGTTTTTTAAAGATATATTTATTTTTATGTATAGTGTTTGGCCTGGATGCATGCCTGCACACCAGAAGAGGGCACCAGATCACATTACAGATGGTTGTGAGCCAACATGTGCTTGCTGGGAATTGAACTCAGGACCTCTAGAAGACCAACCAGTGTTCTTAACGACTGAGGCATCTCTACAGCACCTAGTACACACTTGTCACCCAGCACCTGAGACTATGAGGAAGTGGATTATACATTTGATTCCATGGAGATGTACACAGTGAGACCTTTCACAAAAATCTTGTGGACATTTTGAATATGAGAAAGTATTTCATATATAAATGTGAAAAGGAATAAAGCAAGACCACATGAAAATTTTTATTTTTGTGTGCAATATTCATTCATGTCTGCTGCCTCCTAGTCCTGACAAAGATGAGGATAGATGAGACAGACACTGATGAGATTTTGGAAATGACATCCATTAAATATTGTTGGAGCCTACTGCATGACCCAGCAACAGCCTCGGGAAAGTCAGAGCCTGGTGTGTGAGGAGGGCAGTTCCCCTTCCTGTGGGGCTGCTGAAGCACAACCATGTCATGGGGAGGGCCCTGCCTCCAGAGGCCACACCCTATGTCTCCGGCCCCTTCAGACAGACTCTGTAGCTCTGCCCATGAGCACAGTTGCAGCCTCCAGGAGGAGACGCCATGACCGTCGTCTCCTTCACAGTCCTGCTCTGTCTGGGTGAGATGTGGAGATGGGGAGGGATGCTGTGCTCTGGGATTGATGCTGCCCCACAGCCCAGCACGGGTCAGTTAGGAAACCCCAGGGTCTCAGGAGGTTCTGCAGAGGGGAGGACCTTCTCAAGCTTCAGGGACAAACCTCTCACTGGAAACTCTCTTCCAGGGCTGACTCTGGGCCTCAGGACCACAGTGCTGGCAGGTGAGTGAGTTTCTGCAGATGTCCTGACATCACTTCTCATCATTCCTGGAGCCATGCTGGGCTGTGAGGATGGAAACAAACTCAAGCTCGATGCCCCTGGGAATGGCTGAGGGTTGGGGTTGGGGAGCTGCAATCTGAGGATGGCTGTCCTGGATCTTAGCTGATCTTTTCCTTGCAGGAAACTTCCCTAAACCTATCCTCAAAGCACAGCCAGACTCTGTGGTCCCAGAGCAGACTACAGTGACCTTCTTGTGTGAGGGGATCACGGGAGCCCAAGAATACCGTCTGTATAGAAATCGACAACAATATTTAAGGCACATAGACAGACTACCAAATCCTAATAACAAGGCTGAATTCTCAATCTCAAAAGTAGACCTTAACAAAACAGGCCAATATGTCTGTCAATATTGGACCCATGGTGGATGGTCAGAGCACAGTGACTCACTGGAGCTGGTGGTGACAGGTGAGAGGACTCACAGAGTCCACAGCCTCAGGTTTGTCTGTCAAGAACTGTTTCTGTAAACAGGGATGACTCCCTCACACAATCATGGTGGATAATGAGGTCTTTGAGGACATTTAACTTATTCCTCCTTCTCTCCTAGGGGTCTACAGTAAACCCAGCCTGTCAGCCCATCCCAGCCCTGTGGTGACTGAAGGAGGGGAAGTCACCCTCAAGTGTGTCTCAAGTCAACAAAGTTGCAAGTTCTTTCTGACTAACGAAGGACCACAGAAGGTCTTCTGGACACGGCAATCAAAGTACAACTACTCTATTCGGCGGTACCAGGCCCAACTCCTTGTGGATGCTCTGACATCAAGCCAAAGGTGGAGATTCAGATGCTACTGCTTTGAGAGTAACAGACCACTAGTGTGGTCAGAACCTAGTGACCCCCTGGAGCTCCTGGTCTCAGGTGAGAAAATCCAGCTTTCCCTAGAATCATGCTGAACTGACACAGGTGCTGAGGGAGGTCTTTGTGTGTGAGGTGTGAGGAGCCAGGGCTCCTGGGCCCATTGCACACAGGCAGTGGGAGACAGAGGGACACAAGATACAGAATCCAAGGGAGAGACTGACAGCAAAGCTTAGGAGGTCCAAGACAGAGAGGAATCTTCATGGAGCCCTCTGCTACTGTTGTTCAGCTTAAATGGCATCCACCGGAGCTCCAGCAATTCCACAGAAGAGAGAGAGAAAGGGTTGCAGGAGCCAGAGCCCTCAGGACACCAGGAGAACACTGCTCACAGGATCAACTCAGCAGGGATCCTGAGGGCTCACAGAGACTGAAGCAGTGAAAAGGCTCATGCATGGGTCTTCCCTAAGCCCTCTGCACACAGGCTGTGCTGGTTTACTCTGGGGTCTTTTTATTTTTTGTTTTTTAGAGGTTCACTCTGTAGGCCAGGCTGGCCTTGAACTCACAGAGACCTGCCTGCATTTGCCTCCTGAGTGTTAGATTTAGACGTGTACACCACCACTGGCTAAGTAGCTTGCGATTTTTCTTAGACATGACAATAGGAGTCTGGAAGTCTCTGACTCTTTTGCCTGCACAGAGGATCTTTTTTCTCCTACTGGGTTGCCTTCTCCAGCCTTAACAGGAGGGTGTTTGCCCAGTCTGACTGCATGTTGTTATGTCGTGTTCCATTAATATCACTGGGAACCCTGCTCTGTTCTGAAGGGAAACAGAGGAGCCGTGGATCTGGGGGAGAGGGAATCTGAGGGTGCTCCTGGCAGAGTGTATTGTTTGACAAAAAATAAATTAATTAGGAAAAAGAGTGCCTTCCACAAGAGTGACTATGCTCTGCCACTTTCAGACAGACCCACGCCATTCTCTCCTGTTTCCTTGCAGGGACCCTTCACAAACCCACCATCAAGGCTGAGCCAGGCCCTGTAGTGACCTTAGGAAGCCCCATGAACATCTCGTGTCAGGGGACCCTGGATGCAGAAATGTGTTTTCTGCATAAAGAGGGAAGCCAACAAACCTGGGGTACACAGACCCCAAAGGAGCCTGGGAACAAGTCCACATTCTCCATTCCTTCTGTGACAGAGGGCATTGCGGGGCAATATCGCTGTTACTGCTACACCTCAGCTGGCTGGTCAGAGCCCAGTGACACCCTGGAACTGGTGGTGACAGGTGAGGGGACAGTGAGGGTCTCAGCCCCAGGCTCTGCTCTCAGGAGTATCCCCTCCTAAAGCCTAGCCCTGGAGACCATTGTGACTGTGTAATCACATGTAACAGTCTGTTCCTTCTGTCCTAGGAATCTCTGACAGTAAACTCAGTCTGTCAGCACTGTCCAGCCCTGTGGTGACCTCAGGAGGGAACATGACTCTCCAGTGTGTCTCACGGGTGTTCTATCACAAGTTCATCCTCACCAAGGAAGATCAGAAGTTTTCCAGCTCCCTGACCTCACAGTATATAAACAGTACTATGCAGTACCAAGCCTTACTCTCTATAGATCATGTAACAGCAGACCACTCAGGGACATTCCGATGCTATGGTTACTACAAGCAAACCCCACAGCTGGTCTCAGGTCAGTCAGCCCTATCACTGACCAATCATTTTTGACACACTAAGCCCTCTTCCATAGACTGGTCTCATTTGTTTTTGAAGATAAAGAGTGAAAAAGAAAGATCCAGAAAGCTGAGCTAGAGCCCCACTCCTGGGGAGAAGCAGTGACATGTGCAGGGCATGATGGGAAGGAATAGGTGTTTGGTGAAAACCAGCTCCTCAATCACTAGGCTGTCACCTTCCCTCTAGGTCTGTCCAAGAAGCCCTCCCTGCTGAGTCACCAAGGCCATATCCTGGAACCTGGGAAGAGCCTCACCCTGCAGTGTGTCTCTGACATCAACTATGACAGATTTGCTCTGTACAAGGTGGGGGAAGACATCTTCACCAAGCGGTATGGCCAGAGGACCCAGGCTGGCCTCTCCTTAGCCAACTTCACACTGGGCTATGTGAGCCGCTCTACTGGAGGCCAATACAGATGCTATGGTGCACACAAGCTCTCCATCACAGGTGAGGAACAAATGAGATTCTATGTAGTATCTAATCTCAGCATGAGCTCTCATGGGGGACCTAAGAGCTGAAGGCTGGGATAGGGACAGAGATTTATTTGGGGACAGATGGAGAGACAGGGAGAAGGAAAGAAGAGTAAGGCAGAGATAAGACTGAGTCACAAGTGCTCAGACCCTAGTGAAGTCTCAGCTCAGAGCATTGAAGGCAGCCTCTCATTATCTCTGCTCTCTTTAGGACAGTCTTTTGCCAGACTTTCCCTCTCAGTGAAGCCAAACTCAACTGTACAGTCTGGAGACAATGTGACCCTGCTGTGTCAGTCAACATTCAGAGCATACATTTTCATTCTGTCCAAGGAGGGAGCAGCCCACCAACCCCAGCGGATGAAATCAAAGTTCCAAGATGGGGAGTTCCAGGCAGAATTCTCCATGACTGCTGTGACCTCTGCCCTCTCAGGCACCTATAGGTGCTACAGGTCTAGAGGCTCATATCCCTACCTGTTGTCACATGCCAGTGCCCCTGTAGAGCTCTTTGTCTCAGGTGAGGTGACCCTGAACTCTCAGGGTGATTTGCAATACAAACCCTAGAAGAGCCCTTGACTTGAGTGGGATTAAAGGAACAACAAGAAGGGTGAGTCAGAAGGCTCTTTCCCTGACAGAGAAGTGGATGCCAGCAGGGTGCCTTAAGTAATGTCCACTCCATCCTCTATTGCAATGTAGGCTTGGGGAAGACAGCATGGTGGTCTTGGGGAGGTTACAGTGCAGATGTAGGAGAGACAGCAGAGGCAGGTCCCTGTGTAAGCATCTAATCCTCACCCACTCTTGTTTCGTTTCCTAGGACCTATTGTATCCCCCAGCCCACCACCCTCATGCCCCTTGCCAACAGCAGGTACGTATCAGGAAACTCAGCAGAGGCAGTGGTGTACATCCCCAGTCTCACCTGAGCCCACCAAAGTCCTCATTTCTCTGTCACTTAGCTTGTGACTGTGGAAGGCAAACAGAGAGCTCAACAGAGACCCAAGAATCCCAGGACGTAGAGGTTGGGTTACAGAAGATGGAGTGCAGAGAGAGATCTTTTTGCTCAGTCTGGAGGATGGGGCAGGTGATTAAGTGGAGAGCAGGGATCCCAGACACTCACCCCCCCCATCTGCCTCTAAGGTCCTGAGAAATCACCTCTCATTTCATTGAGTCAGGCCCCAGAAGTCTCTGTAACCATCCCGTTGGATGTGGTACCCAGATGGGCAATAGTTAGTTATGGGCTGGATACAGCTGCTTCTGGAGATGCTGACTTGGACAAGTCCTTCCCATTCTGGGCTGGCTGCTGTTTCTCTGAGTTTAAATGGAGAGACCTGGCCCACGTGTGTAAATTTTTTCAGTGCTGGCTTTGAATGGCGCCTCTACTAACAGAGGAGGCCTGCAGAACCTGAGTCTGCAGTGGGTCTGTCCCACCATGGAGGTGACATGGACAAGGGTGTTGCACAGGACCATGGCCGGGCATTCCTGCTCCTTCCCTACAGCTCATGAGGCTTCTGAAGCCCATGGACTCAGGTTAGGTGATCCAGATACTTATGCACTAAAGCAGTATTTCAAGATTCTCCTTCAACAATAATATGGTTGGGTTATAAATGATGCATAGATGGATATTCACTCTCATGTTGGTAGAAAACAGCAGAGATATTTCCAGGAATGCTCACTACAAGCCATACCAATGGAAGCCAGAATGTTTTACAAAGCCCGAAAGAGCATGCCGAAGAGGCCACAGACACATAGAGGATACTAAATAGGAAGACTTCCCAGAAACAACCTCTACTTTTACCCTCCATCCAGAAACAGGAGACAAGTATTCATTGAATCTGACTTTTGCAAAGGCTAATTTAGAGTGAAAAAGGTCCTTGGGCCCTTAATTATCAGATCACCAGCAATGCATGAATGGATCCTTCACGCAGCCACTGTTGAGTCTTGACTACAACACCGAAGCTTGGGTAGAAGAAATTTCCAAAGGTATAAGGAGGCATCAGAATGACAAATGATTTCATTGTGGTAGAGTAGGCCATCTGAAAAGAAAGTAGACATAACATTCCTAGAAAAAATGCTGCTTCTGGAAATGATGCAAAAAGAAGGCCCCAACATTCTGGACTATGTAGGAGACGCAGCAAGGCTGACATTGGACCAATGACTGTAGATCAACAGGAAAAGATCAAGGCAACACTTTACCGTCAGAAAACTCCTTGGGGAGTCTCACACAGGCCCCATGTCTCTTTTTCTTAACAAGGCCAGGACTGTTTAATGAAACTCAAAGACAATTTCCTAACATACAGTATTATAGTGGAGGCATAATTATTTGTTTTGAAGTCATCTACTGATTGTATGGAATTATTCTCCGTGTTAAAATTCTTTTTTATTTAAATTAGAAACAATCTTATTTTACATATGAATCCCAGTTTTCTCTCTCCCTCCCACCCTCCCATACTCCCCACCAACCACCTTCACCCATCTCACCCCCCATCCACTCCCCCCCAAGAGAGA